ATATCAAAAAAGTGTTATTAAAATAATTACATATACATAACGACACTAAAATTTACCTCTATGGGTCCAGCATACATCATTGGACTTGGAAAAATTGCTAATAGTGTAAAACCAGCATCTAGAAATCCTTCATTAAGTATAGCTTCATGTTGTAGAATTCTTGTACGTAATGGTACATCATCATCTTTTGTCCACCCACCCAGAGGATGTAAGAGTAATATAGGGTTTTTAAACCCTCTTTCTTCTAATAAACGTTTTTTTGTGTCCTAAAAGTGGAAAGACAAAAAAATTGCATAAGATCTGTTATATAAATATACTCTAAACAATAAATTAATGAATTAACATACTTGCATCAGTAATGCATGACCATTATGTATAGGATTTCTAAGTTGGAATGCAAATACAGCATCAGCTTTCATTTTTTTACATTTTGTTCGAATTTCATTTGGTGTAAGTCTGTATTTATCCAGTCCATCATGCCATCTAATTCTTTTAAGAACTTCTACATCACCACCAACTAACCAATCTCCAGATTCATGAATCATCTTTACATAAGGATGGTCTAAATTGTTAGTACCAAATTGCCACCCACATCTTTCTTCTTTCCTATGAAAATAAAATTCTGGTCTACGTAATATTGCAAGAGCTTTATTTTTGTATTTCAATGTAAAAGCTGAAAGTCCATCCAAACGTTCTTTATCCTCTATGTGTATTGCAAGAACTATGGGAATAGATTGATTAACTTCCTTATCACCTTCAAGGAGACATTTTAAATGTTGAGTCTAAAAACATTGTTTAGGTATTTTTAGCAGTATTGTTCCATCATTATTTTATGTTTTATGGTATTGTATTGCATATACCTGGAGATATTGGTTCTCTCTCATAAAACCAGTAAGAGGTGCAGCCCAACCTTCTGCTAAAACCTGGAGCCATTGTACATCTATTTCACTAATTTCTAAGCTTTGAAGTGTAGCTGCTTCTGTTTTGGCAGAAGATATACGTGATTCTGGAATGAACAACTCCCGTATTGGTACTGCAGGTTTTTGAAGCAAAGGTATAATGCACTGTTTCTCCAGAAGATCAATAACGGTTGCAGCTGATTCTTCTGGAGTACAGTTTTCAGTGGTTACCACTAAATCAGGATTTACAGGTTTTTCATACATTTGATCTATTCCAGTAAAACCCTTGATAGCCCCCTGACGGGCCTTTTTATACAATCCTTTTGTATCCCTAGCTTCACATACATTAAGAGGTGTATCAACAAAGACTTCAAAAAATGGAAGATCTGACATTTTATGAATTTGCCTTGCCATTTGTCTGTCTTCTTCAAATGGTGATACAAAACTACATAAACAAATTTGGCCACTGTCAGCAAATAATTTAGCTACTTCAGCAACTCTTCTTATATTTTCTTTTCTATCTTCTTTGCTGAAACCAAGGTTGCAGTTTAAACCACTCCTTACATTATCTCCATCAAGTCCATAAGCAGCAATTCCATGATTAACTAAAATAGCTTCAACTTGAAAGGCTATAGAAGTTTTTCCTGCACCAGAAAGACCTGTTAACCAAACTGTACACCCTCGAAAGCCTCTTACACTTCCTATTGCTTGCCCACGTTTTGCTCTTGATACATGATGTGCTTGTTCCGAAACATTGGTGCAAGTCTAAAGAGAAGAATTTTGTATAACACAAAAGATCGAATAATGATAAGAATATTTAAACACAAAAATAACCAAAAATTTGAAATATAAAAT